AAAAACTGAAAATGTATCACCAACATTAACGGGAAAATGGCCGCCCGCAAGGACGTCTGATTCGAGAAATTCGTTGTCCGCAGGGAATTTTTGACCGCCGTGGACAGGCGGACGGGTGATTTTTCGAGCCCTGATTCAGCCCCAAACACAGTAGACTGAATATCAATAAATATTTAAAAAAAAATGCACCCAAATAATTATCTTTGCATAACTTCAAATATCCTTGCATAGAGAGATAGTGTTATTCAGTCCCATACAGTGTAGACTGAACATTAATGAATATTTAATTAAANGGCGGACGGGTGGTTTTTCGAGCCCTGATTCAGCCCCAAACATAGTAGACTGAATATTAATAAATATTTCCAAAAAAATGCACCCAAATAATTATCTTTGCATAACTTCAAATATCCTTGCATAGAGAGATAGTGTTATTCAGTCCCATACAGTGTAGACTGAACATTAATGAATATTTAATTAAAAAAATGCACCCAAATAATTTATCCTTGCATAACTTTAAATATCCTTGCATAGAGAGATAATGTTATTCAGTCCCATACAGTGTAGACTGAACATTAATGAATATTAAATTAAAAAAATGCACCCAAATAATTTATCCTTGCATAACTTTAAATATTCTTGCATAGAGAGATAGTGTTATTTAGTCCCATACAGTGTAGACTGAACATTAATGAATATTTAATTAAAAAACTGCACCCAAATAATTTATCCTTGCATTACTTTAAATATCCTTGCATAGAGAGATAGTGTTATTCAGTCCCATAGAGTGTAAACTGAAAATCAATGAATAATTAATAAAAAATGTATTCAAATAATTTATCCTTGATAAGAGAGATAGTGCTATGTCCCATACATTGCAGACTAGATATCAATAAAAATTCAATGAATAAAAATGCACCCAAATAACTTATACTTGCATAACTGAACCAGTTATTTATTGTTTAATTATAACTTTATAAATATCCTTGGGGAATTTTCTCCAAAAGGTGTTTAAAATATAGCTTGAAAAATCGATGCCTTTACAGTTATTTTCCAACATAATAGCGGTATTTGTAAAGCAAACACCAATTATCATTTACAGGAAATTCTACAGATAAAACTTTTTGCATTTGCTCAAAAAATCATTACAAAAATCTTGAAGGTTTTCGAAGTTCCCAAGATTTGAAAAGAAAATTAAAATTCCCCGCCTTTAAGGCAAAATAACCAAATTATATTTTTTCAGTAGATTATAAATTTACAAATTACATTAACACAATTCTCTGAATAATTTAACAGTCACTGAAAATTATTAAATAAATAAATAAAATACACAAATAAAAGGATTTTTATTTTTTAAAGGTATCAGGATGACTGAATTTAATATTTGGATTATAAAGGCAAAATTTTTTCGTCCAAATTTTTATATTTATGAATAAAACAAGTTTAAGAAAACTATGTTTAAAGTTAAATACCATGTTACATAGATTTTAATTTTAGACATCATTTACATTAGACAATTGTAAAGATATTTTATTTCAGAGTTACATAAATTTAGAAATAAATATCTACTAAAACTTAGCATGAGTAGGAACTTATGAATAATAAATTACGATAAAATAGAAAATAAATTATGATAAAATACAAACGCACTGAATACAAAAATACTTACAAAATCCACCCCTTTTATATTGCTTCTTATAATATTTGATGTCCAACTCAAGACTGTAAATAAAATTGAACTAGAATAAATAAACAGCAAGAAAAATCAGAAATTAAATTAACTATGAGAGGAAAAACTTCTTTACCCGCGTTTTAAAAAGGAACATTTTGCCATCAATTTATTCATTTCGGCAGTCATGCGAGAGACACTTTTGTGAGCACTTGAATTTTTTGCAACTAAGTTTGTTCTGGATGAAAAATAAAAATTCAGGTAAACATATTGAAACACAATAAATTTCATAAAAAATTAAGCAACTATGAAACTTTATTTATCATTTAATGAAAAAACTTTTTAGGCAGAGACATATAATAATAATAATAGTAATATTGTTTGGAAATAAGTCTTGCTCAACTGCAAAAAAATTTTTTTTATGATTTCATCAACTTACAAATCCTGCCTGCATCAAACTTTCCAAAATACAGTTTGGGAAGTTTGATGAACGATGAGTTTAATAAGACACAATAGGACATTTCCCGATCATCCCAAACTACAGTATGTAGAGAGAAAGCCATCATGTTTGAACAAGCTGATTAGATCTTGATAGTTGTGTACATAAAAAATTTTACGATAATCACATCTGGCATTATTCCTTTTTGTACACTTTTTCAAACAAAGTGATTTTTAAATTTGAGAACCATTAGAAAAATGCTCAGATGAAGCACTTTATCAACAAACTAGTTTTAACAAGATGAATCCAAAATAGACTAAATACTTTTAAAAATGGAAATAATAAAATTATATTTATGCGGTTTTATTACTCGCAGCCTAATGGAATTAAGTTTCAGAATAAGAGTGTTCCAGCAACATTGAATATGAAAGCCACTTTCAAAGGAAAAGCTGTGTCCACCATTTCATCAAACATTTTACTTTATTTCTTATTCAGAAATGAATATGATTAGAATGAAAAATCTACACTCCAAAATTTAAATAACTACCAAATTGATTTGTTGCTGTAGTTCATTTATGTCATACTAGAGCTACACAATGGGCTATTGTTGTAGTTCATTTATGTTGTACTAGAGCTGCACAATGGGCTATTGTTGTAGTTCATTTATGTCCTACTAGAGCTGCACAATGGGCTATTGTTGTAGTTAATTTATGTTGTACTAGAGCTGCACAATGGGCTATTGTTGTAGTTCATTAATGTCATACTAGAGCTGCACAATGGGCTATTGGCGACGGTCTGGGAAACATCCCTGAGGATGATCCGAAGAAATGCCATCACAATTTTGATTCTCTGCTGAGGGGATTGCATCCCCGCTTTGGTAGCCCACTGACCTGCACACAAAGTCAAGCATTTTATGGTAGAACAGTTTAATGAGGACCAATACCGCTAACCCTCAGTCCCTACGTAGACTGATCCAAGTGGTCACACACCTACCCACTAACCGCAGCCAGTGATGCTTGACTTCGATGATCTGCTGGGAACCTTGTCTTAACGACCAGTCCACTGCAAGAAACTATCAAATCGAATTTTTCAATTGACATATAGCACAAGTCAGGGTGCGTAGCCAAATCTCCCAATAAAAAAATAAGCACTCAAAAATATTTTTAAGTATTATATACATTAACAAAATGCAAAATAATTTTCAAAGAACTAACATGATAGTGATAAAATAACAAGTTTCTGATAAAGAACTCTTTTCTTGACTAGCCACCAAAAAAGATCGAGGGATTTTTAGGTTCTATTTCAGAGGGTGAAAAATGAAGCCTGAAAATATCTTGGAAAATGCAGCAGAGTGCTAAAATTTCACCAAAAACTCACCTCAGGAGCACAGGCGGAATCGTAAGTATTTCACCAAACATGTAACATGATTGGTGCTTTCATACATTACGGACTGATGGTGCCGAAATGGATTGTGGTGGAATGAATTGTAAAAACGTTGAATAGAACAATGCGAAAACCACGTTTTTGTATAATATGCAGCAAAAATCGGTAGGGTAAAGAAAAAAAATCTCATTTTCGAAAAGGGAGAATTAAGCACTTTTAAAGAACTCCCCATAAAAAAAGCACCTTTAAGGGCTTTTAAAAAACGAAAATAAGCACCTTTAAGAACTCTACGCAACATGCAGGTAGAATTATTTTCATTTTAAACTACTTTCTTTTTCCCATTAAGCTTCAGTTATTGTTATATCCTTAAAAATAATGAAAAAATACAACAATTGCAGGGGTCTGTTTAGAAGAAATTTGGGTCCGTTAACGGATCCTTCACAAAATATCTTTTCATAAAAACAGACCCTTCACAACGGAAAATCGGACCCTTCACAACGGAACGGAAAGAATGTGACTTAACGTTTATTTTATATTCACAAATTATGAGTAATTTTTTCACAATTTTACAAAAACAGGACCCTTTACAAAATGTCTGGACCGACCCCTGAATTGAATTTATGTCATAATTACATAATTATGAGTACACGTTTAAAAATTTATTCATTTATGCAACTCACACATATGCTTTAAAGGCATTTGAAACTCTTGAAGTTCGAATGCATTCTTGTTGGCATAGATGAACAGCCTCAGCCCAAACTGAACGTTGTTGTAGATAATCCACAGTCTCAAGAGGTTTCCTCATCATGACTTCAACAGAAGGTGAAATATAAGTAGCAGATGACGGCAATGGCAATGAAGACGTGTTTTTCAAATCAAATAAGTAGGTGACGTGTTCCTCTTCTTCCTGAAATCACAACATCAATAAATAAAATTTTATTTTCATACCTAAAAATTAGTTTTTTAATGAGTTTTTTTAATAATAAAATTACAAATTGTA